TGATTCACAAACTGAGGTAGTACTTTTTTAAAAAGCTTCAAAATTAACCTCCAAAAATTTTTTAATATTCATCCCTCCGAAAGCTAAAAGAATACTCACCTGCTCATTTGTTTCCTACAGTGGTACTCATGTACCAACAGAAAAAGAAACCATGAATCGTCTTAGGACAGCTATTCTATGACTTTGAACCAACACTGAAGAAACAAAAAAATTTAAAGGAGCAGTCATCCTCTCAGGGCTGGTATCTATTAACAGAGTAAAGAAAACTAGTGGCACATTATTGAACAGTTATACTGTCCAAGAAGCAAAAGCTGGATCTCTCATGGGAGACTTAACTATTTGTACTGGTTTTACATGGCAAGATTTTGGTACTAGGCAGACTTTGGGGGTGTCCTCTCTGAGGAGAGGCCTTAGGCTGCCCTGTGCCCAACAGTAATATTTCCAGATGGCTGCAATTGACTCAACTGCTGGCCAAAGCTGAGCCCAGCAGCCAAGGTGGTGGCCCCTCTAGGAAAACGTATCTAAGAAAGAGCAAAATATCAGACAGTAGAGAGGAGCAAGAGGAAAAGTGAGAAACAGCCCTGCAGACACCAAGGCCAGAGAAGGAGGATGTGCTACTCCAGCCACCGGAGCAGACATCCCCTTCTGGCCTAGTAAAACAATCATGCTGAAGCAGATAACCACACTCAGCCCATGGAGGACCCCACACCACAACAAGGGGATATTTTCTGAAGCAAACTGCAGCCTATAGGCATCCCACCTGCTGAAGTAGATTCTTCCAACAGGAACTACAGCCCATGGAGCAGACCCATGCTGGAACAGGGATAAAGTGAGAAGGAAGGAGCACCAGGGGTGTTATGCACTGATGGCAACCCCCTGTTGCCCATCCCCACTGTGCTGCTCCAGAGTCAGGACTGAAGGAGTGAAGTTGAGCCTGGGTTGGGTGGGGGGCAGGAAGCTGTTTTAAATGGTCTTTGTTTATTACCATTCAAATCAATTTTAACTGGCAGTTTTCCTCAAGTCTATTTTGCCCATGATGGTAACCAGTAAGTGACTTCCCTGTCTATGTTGACCCACACTTTTTTCTACATTATTTCCTCCCTGTCTTGTTGATAGGGAATGAGAAAGCTGCTAGGTGGACATTTGGCAGCCACTTAAGACAACCCACTGCACTACTGCATGGCATGACCTACTTTGCCAGGTTACCTGAAACTTCCTGGAAACATGGGTTAAGCATTACAAAACACTTACTAGTAAGCTATCACTATGTAAACTTAGGACATACAATATTCACCCCTCTTGCTTGTCATGCTGCCAACCTCCCTGATGAAGATGCAGCTGTGAATGCAGGAAGAAAGGTTGTCAGTTTAGCCACACCACCTCTGAGGCAGCTCAACTGACTCCTGACAGCACCTACAGTCTTGCACTAACACTCTGCCGTCATGGCTGTTATCCAAACAATTGCCTACAGTTTCCCCTCTTTCAGCTCTCTCCAGAGAAGCAGAGGAAGAAAGAGGAAAAAAGGAATCAAAAGCCCATTTAAAAAAAAAAACAGAAGAGGAATATCCTAGCCTTCCACCCTCAAGACAGCATTAACTGTACTTATGCTTCTCTGAAGGCTTTCAGCAGCAGGTGGAGAGACTGACACATCTATACAAAGTTCTCATTATCCTTAAGATTAGATAGGAGAACAGTTTATCTCTCCCTTGCTAGAGTTCAAGTGTACCATTCTCTATTTATCAAGAGAACACTGTTCTCTTTGTGCTACCTTCCATGTACTTGGAGTGATGTCAACGCCTTTAAGTCCTGCTTAAGCTAAGCCACATGAGCATGCTCTGTTCACACAAGTCTCAGTCTTCAAAACTGAGCACTTCATTTTCTTATATTACTCACCTTAGACATCTCTTCAGTTGGTTCACAACTGTTTCAAGTACGCCACAGAAAAACTGATGCAATACTCCAAACTTCAAATTGTTGAGTAGACTTTCACATTTCACAGCCCATAGTCTTGTTCATATATTGAGCAAACATTGTTATGTGCTCAGGATCTTTTTTTCCCTAAACAGTTTTTATACCTATCCCTAGCATATACCACATTTCTCTTGCTGCTGAGAGTATTAGATGAAAGCATAAGCATCCATAATAAAGAAGTAGTAGTAGATTTGCTATGTACAGGAAAGGTTCCATTTTGTAGAAAGAAATTAGACTAGTTGGACGTTACTTGACAACCTCATGCAGACCATTACTCATTTCCTTGGGATCTTCCAGGCGTGATGGTTTTGACTAAATTGAAAAACTAACAGCTTCATCTAAGTTTGATACAGCTTTGAGTAAAACAAGCATTCTCAAGATTTACTTTACTCCATGTCAAAGAATGCCTTCTCTTCAGAGAAAAAAGTTTTGGCTTTGTTTAACAACAAATCACATGCTAATAGATATTTAGCAGTAATAAAATAATTAAAGCAAGAATATAGGAGGACATTATGCAAAGACAATATGATTATCGAAGTCTGAATGTAGACACTAAATCAACATGGTAAAAGACTTCCAAAATTAAGTGTTATTCCTGAACATGTTATTCTGTTCTGTCAGTCCCAGTAAGATTTGCAACTCCCATAAACCTGACCATCCCAAACACAAAGCAGAAATAGCATTCTCCATTTCTAGTACTTGCCCCAAAACAAATGGAATTTCTCTTGAAGCTTGAGAAACAGCCACATTTTTGAACACTAATATACAAGTTACACTAAAGACAGAAGTGCTCTTAAAGCAATAAGCAAAGCTCCAAGATTTTCTGCACTTCTACATTGACTAAAAGTATTATATATGGAAATTAAAAGATTTCCTTCTTTTCATGAAAGCCACTAATTGAATGATTGACAAGTTATATACATGCAGAGACAACTCAAATGCTATTAAAGTAACAGTAAAACAGTCCTGCAAGAGTTAAGACATTATTAATGAAATGATGAACATTTTCACTTAGAATAGGGTTGTGCCATGAAGTGTGTTATGAAACTTGTTTACTTTGACTTTTCCTTGAGCTGTCCTGTGAAGGTGATAATCTGTCATGGAAAATTATCCACCTGCAACTCCCCTTTAGTCTGTGATGCTTAAATCAACACTTCACCGTGACTGTCACAGTTACTGAGAGAATAAAAAAGCATTCAGACCACAAGAACAAAGAGACACTGGAATGCCATCCTGACCGTAAGTGATAATCTGTAAGTAACTAATGATATTGTACACTATCCTATGAGAACACAACGAACTGTTAGAGTTCTACAGGCAATAGATATGGCCAAAGCATTTATCAAAGTTAAGGGTAATGTGAAAATTTAAAGAAACTACACAAGCTATTTTGAATCAAAGGAAGCATCCAAATTGTTGAAGTGAATAGTTAGGCATATTTGTCCTTTAAATGAAAGGGCTAAGTCTAGATTTCAAATGTATCATAGAAGGGTAACTCCACTAAGAATTTCATACTGAAAGCTTTTGTTCAGCTGCTATTTCAGCCCTTTTCCGTTAGGACTCAGCATTAACAGTGGCAATTATGTTAGAGGAAATTGCTTATAGCCCCCCTCTCCAGCTTTTCAAAGCACAGGCAACAGTTTAAAGTACTGCTATAAATTTATTCCTACATCTGTTGGCAAAAAATACTTTATATGGCAATACTGTTCCATAAAAGTACTGTTTTTTTAAATCCAGGTATCTACTAAAATCAAAGTCCTAAGATCAAAAAAGAGATGAAGATCAAAGCTTCGCCCCAGTATCAGTTTCCTTTGCACTGGTTAAGTATCAAGATGTAACTTCTACAGAGCTAGCACACTACTGATCAAGTAATTGCTTGGCAAGATGCTAATTCCAAATGCATATATTCTCAAAGTATCTCTCACTTCTGCTGGTTATATGCAATTTAGATTAACCTAAGCTACCTGACTGCTATAGAATTCTTCCTTCCCTTCTTCCCATTTCCACATGCCTGAGAAAAGATAAGATAATCAGATTTTCTATGGCAGTGGCACTATAGTAGATCAGCCAAGACTTGCACCTTTTCAATCTTAACCACATTTTAGTCAAAGTAAACGGTTTCCCAAGAGCTCAAACAGAGCTTGCTATAAGGTTGTCATTGTGTAGTATAATACTAACAAAAAAAACCCAGTTGATATTCAAGATGGTAATTGAGGAACTTGACCTATGATTTATACGGGAAGAAAAAAGCTGGAAGTTACTGCAATGTAAGTCTCAAAAAGCAAGAAAAACTTTTACCTTTAGAGGTCGGATAGCTTCACAGAACTTCGTCCACCAGCTTTTCTCAATAGACTCCAGATGCCTCTCTCTTCTTCGAAGTGTCCTTAGTCTTTCTTCTAGTTGTTGTACAGTCCGTCTATCCCTTGATGACAGAGGCCGACCATCTCTGCACTGGTTACCAAAAATAGTGCAAGAGATCAAGGGACATTCAATCAAGAAAATAGACTTGACATCTAGTTTAATGAGTTACAGCAAGTCTTAAGACTTTGCAGTCTATAATCCTCACTGTTTCTATGCATAGCAAGAGGATAAAGTGCAAGAGTCACAAGCTGCAACAAGAGGAATTCCCATTACGTGGTAGAAAAACATAATGAGTATAGTAAAAAATGTTTAGCCAGGGTGGGCAGTCTCCATGGCTAGAAATGCTTAAAATGCTCAGATACAATTCAATAACCTGATCTAATCTGAAAGGGGTCCCTGTATCATGTAAAGGATAGAACCTGATGACTTTCAGAGGTCTCTTCCAATCAAATTCTATGTCTAAGTCCATATATTAAGCTTGATATCTGTATTTTCTTTCCAGCATTTCACTACTGATACTCAGCTTCTTGTACTTACAAGAGCAAGATGACTTCCTGCTCCAAAAATTAACCTTATAGAAATACAAACAAGAGGCATCATTACTCTAAGAATTAGTTGTGTAACAAATAATTGTTGGTTTGATGATTTTGTTTAAGAATGTACTTCAATTCTGAGCCTCTAAATACTGAGCAGGTGCCATTGCACACTGTTGTAATTTGACTCGCACATCCTTAAATCTCAGTTATACACTAACAAGCAAAAGCAACAAAATAGGCATTAGGTAAGGGAACCAAAGCTGTTTAACATTGATACTACTGTACAACAAACTGATACTTAGATAAAAAAAGATTCTTATAGTTTTAATATATCTGTTTACATTTTATTATTTTTTAAATTCCCTGCTTGATTTTTCTCCTCTTATTTTTAAAGACTCTTCCTGCAAATAGTGAAACGCTTCACGCCTGGTGAAGTTAAAGTAAATCCACTTGAGATAAATTTCTCTAAAAGGTTAGAAAACTAAAACCACATTCTGGGCACATGTAACAAGCTGGAGATCACAATGTACATTTAACAGGAGAACATATTCTCCACACCCTGTATAGCACCTTGGTGACTTGAAAAAGACTTTTTGAAAACAGCCCAAGCTCCCAAGCTGCCAGTCCAAGCTTTGATTATTTAAGACTAATAAAATAAAGCTACCAGGTGTACTAATAGCAGAAGACCATACTAGATACTGCAACTTTTCATTAGATTTAGTGTACTTTCATATTTCTAGTTTTCACTGTACATTACCCTCATAACACTCACTTTCTTCATGACTTCATGCAAATGAAACTGAAGAACTAAGATTTCAATTACACACTGAAGCAGAATCCTGACCATAATCCATAAACCAAGGAAAGTTAGTTTATACTACTGGTAGCATTAAAATACAGACATAAGTTAAGACTTTCTACCTTTTGATCCTATTTGCTGTTCAATCTAGCTAACACCACCAGTTGCTTGTAAACTCTCATAATCCAACAGTCTTCTATAATAAGTAATGCTCAATTTTTCAGGGATTTCTCATTTTTCTCATATTGATTTCAGTAACACAGATGCCTCCAATGCAGTAGTGTTTCATACAAAACCAAAACTTTACAATTTAAACTTCGTAGGTTTCATTACGCAACAAAATTTTCAGAACACTGAAGGTGTCCACACTATGTAGAGGTAGCCAAGTATCAAGGGAGGACTGTTGGAATTGTTTCAACATTGCTGAGATCTACTATCACAGCACAGACAACAGCACAGATAGACTGCCCTGATTAAAGTGATGCATCTTAATGTCCCTTCTCTTCTTGTGATAGAACAAGGGGTAATGGTTTTAAAATAGAGGGAGGTAGATTCAGATTGGATATTAGGAAAAATTTTTTTACCATGAGAGTTGTAGAACACTGGAACAGGTTGCCCAGAGAGGTGGTGGATGCTCCATCCCTGGAGACGTTCAAGGCCAGGTTGGACGAGGCCCTGAGCAACCTGATCTAGTTGGAGATATCCCTGTTCCTTGCAGGGGGGTTGGACTAGATGACCTTTGAAGGTCCCTTCCAGCCCTAACCATTCTATGATTCTATGATTCAGTCAGGGCTGTGAAAACACTGGTCAAATCATTATCTGAAATGGGTTGGGAAGAGGGTAGGAGATTATCCCTAGCATCTTGTATATAAAGAAAAATCTTACCCTCCTTCAGCTTGTGCTCTTTGGTCGTTACAAGTGTCCTGCTTACATTAGGCACAGCATTTCAGTAAGCTGCAAAGCCATCATGTGTTTATCACTGGTGTTAACATCTTAGGGATGTTTAGGATTCAGAACAGATTTCCATACATATGCTTTTCATTAAAAAGTGATTTATAACAGCAAGGTACATTAACTGGGAAGCAAGAATATCTAGGGCTGTTATTTATGAATAAAGATGATTAATAGTTTGATGAATCTAACTCATGACAGCTCCATGTGGCAAGTATCCTGTGTTGATAACTACATTGAGTGAGTATCAACAAATTGGATGCCATATCTGGTAACAGACTAAGTGAGGTTGATATTCTAAGCTTCTACAAAGTATTTCTTCCAAATATCCAAGTAGGACTGGAGAAGCCTGAGTTTAGCTCATAAGCACCATTATTAGCTAGACAAAAATAACTGCTGCTGCAGGACTGATAAAGAAAACCTGATCTCCACTACACAAGTGACCACGTTTGTTTCCAAACAACTCAAGTAACTGCAACTCAGTAACTTCTGACTTGCTATTCTTTCTGGCATGACCATAAACTAGTAAGCAAGCAAGAACAAAATTCATTTAAGCAAGCAAGAACAGTGAAGACTATACCTTTGATTTAATCCTTAATAAATGTTGCTCCACTTCTTCAATATCTTCTGTGTTCTCTAAACGTTCATAAGCTGCACTAGTAGTTCCCTTAATCAAGTTTAGAGGCAAAGCTGACATACCATAAGCCTAAAATAAAAAGGAAACATACATACTCAAATTTTCTGTCATACATTTTCATCTGACACAGCTACAACACACAGCAGCCTTGAAGTATCACTGCTGATTTCCCCTCTCACCACGCTCCTTCCACAGACTCTAAGGCAATAAAATACTTTTATTTTTGAGCAAAGCATAACAAATACACTATGCAGATTCTAGTGTCCCGCATTGTTCTAACAGTACTTCAATATCTCACCATCACTGAGACAACATGTGTTAAGACTTCATACAAGCACAGAAGATTTACCAAGCTAGCACTTGTTTTTTTGTCAAACCATTGAGCTTCCCAAAACCTTGACTTTCTCACTTCAGATCATAAAACATTGTATAATGCAGGGATTTCTAGATATTTAAATAGTTTCAGAAGCAAGGTACACAGTTTCTTTGTAGCCAGTAGTGTTCAACTTTCTACATGAATTCATTTTAAAAGTACTTGAGTTAATAAAAAAATTCTGCAGTGAAAAGACACAGCAGAAGCCAGATGAACACCTAAACTCAGTTACAATCAAAAACTGCTCAGATACCCATTCACATTCATAACTTTTGTTGGCGTTTACTCCTAGTTATAAATCCTATACCATTCAAAGTGTTTGCCAGCTTCTACATCAATGTTATGCCCAGGTTTTTCCAATTAAATCCTATACCATTCAAAGTGTTTGCCAGCCAACTACATCTATGTTATGCCCAGATTTTTCCAACGCAGTCTGTAAGCTTTCAACTAACGTAAGAAGAAACGGATATCTAAAGTGAGGTAAACAAGAAGAAAATGCCACTATTTCCTCCCTGCAACCTTATGAGTCTTACAGATCTAGGCCAAGGTCAGAAGTTTCTCCAAGCAGTTTAGAGGCATTATCCATACGGTTGTTTTTTAATTTGTTTTACTGTGGGTGGGAAGCCATCGGTGACAGGATGTTCTTGGTGGGGAGCTTTCAGGAAAGTTCCTTTTGTTTCTCTTAATCACAATTAACACATGTAGTTTTACTAGAGTGCTTGATATCTGAACATTTACTAATTCAGAAATGAGCAATTTTATAGGTTTTCTCAAGAATACCACTCCATCCCTGGAGCACAGCTTCACATTTCCTACTGAGAATAGATTTAACACAAATGCTAGTATGTTATAAATGTCACCAAACATGCTGTCAGATTGCATGAGCTTTCTGTACACAAGACTTGATTTGACCTGCTTAAGAACCTACTTAGACACACTAACATCTCATGCATTGTACTCAAAGCAAGACACTGTCCATTTTTTGGGTGTATTTTTCAACATGGCATAGACGCTGCCACCAATACCCATTTCTAAGCCCCTTCAACAAAGGGCTCGTATTTACTATTATTGTCGCTCACAAACACATTAACTATTTAAATTAATAACCAGTTCAACATAAATATCTGACACAACCCACAAACTTCAGTCTCACTTTGCAAACAATATTCCCTGATTTCAAGAAACATTCCTCCAAGTAGTACACTATGAAAGCATGAAACAGAAGTTTAGTAGTCTGACAGTCTTGTTTGCTTACTGTGGAATTAGGTTTATGTTCAGAGCGACAACTACCATAAATTGTTAGAACAGTGTCAGTTCAGTTCAACAAGCAGACAGCACAGGTGTCTCTCAACAGGCTTCAAACCCAAGGAAACAGTGGTATCTGTTGAATCACTTCAAAGCATTTAAGCAAAGGTAGGAGAAAAATATTTTCCTTCAAGTATTTCTTGAAGTATATATTAGTGAAGAACACATTCGGCTAGATCTTTGACAACTTGCACTGCATGACTTTTTTTGCATAGCTATAAAGTATTCTACAAGGTATTAGAATTAGTCTTACCATAGACTCCAAGAGAATAAAGTAGGCTATTAGCTATCTGCTCAGCATTTCAGGACTTCTCAGCTGACAGACTCATTTGTCACCCAAAAATACAGCTAAAAAAGTATTTGCAGCACTGTTTACAGACTGTCCCAAATAAAGTTACACTTGCTAGCTAAAAAAAAAAAAAAGAGTTTAACAGGCAATTTCAGCCCCTATGTTAGAGCTTTTTGCAGTAAAAGCTATACAAAGGAAAGACATCTCTTATCTGAGGCTAGTCATGGCAACAAAATCTCATGCTTTCCAAGACATTCTATAAGTTCGGGTTTGAACACAGCTATAGAACCACAGAAAGGCCTATCTACAAGATTAAGTATTTTAAGTAACGAAAAAAATTTAACTTAGGCTAGACTTCACAACTCTGTCCATAAACGCGGCTCAGTTATCCCTTTAGAGCATCTCCTTTGAGAGAATCAAGCTGCTTTGCTATCAACAGGAGCTAAAAAGCTGTCTCCAATCTTCCTCTTCTCTAGGCTGAAGAAGAAATTCCAACCTTTCTTTATAGGTTGTGTTCTAAAGCTCTCTAGTCACTTCTACAAGCCTCCACAGTTTTCCAGTTTCTTATGCTAGGGGAACCAAAACCAGCCACAGTATTCCCAGGTGCAATTTTTGAAGTGTCAAGTACAGCAGAGTAATCATGTCCCTTGATCAACTGGCTATGCTCTTGCTGAGGCAGCCCAGGGCACTATCGGTCTTTTTGGTGCAGGGCACATTGCTGGCTCATGCTCAGCTTGCTGTCCACTAGGACTTCCAGGTCCTTTTCAGCAGAGCCATCCACCAGCCAGTCAGACTCCAGTATGAACTACTGCTTGGAATTAATCTATTCCAAGAGAAGGCCTTAACAGCTGCTAAACCCAATGTCATTCTTGCTGGCTCAATCTTCCCACCTGTCAAGGTCTCTATGCCAGCTCTTGATTCTGTTGCATCTGCTTCTCAGTTTGATACCACTCGCAAACTTGATGACTATACACTCAACCTCATCATCCAGATCATTTATGAAGACTGAATAGTATTGGGTCTATATCAACCCTGAAGAACTCACGCAGGTCTGGCTGCTAGTAGCATAACTTCAGAGTTTAGGTGAAAGTACAGACACCAGTCAACTTCACCACTAGAATGTAGCCTGCAATTCTAACCAAGGTCCCTCTGTGGAATCCAAAACATTTCCAGCCAGAGATAAAAGACATTCAGTACGTAGAAACAAATATGAGAGATTGCTATGACAATAGACCTACACAATTTTAGAAATCTAAGCTTAGAAGCAATTAGATTTCACCATTAAGCAGAGGCTTCCACCTGTTCTTCAAACAGGTACCATCAACTAACAGATATCAGGTATTCACTCAACAGAAAAACTTATGGAATAAGATTCAGAGTTCTAAATCTTCTAAATCTAAGTTTCTACAAAGCAAACTGCAATTCTTGATGTGATGCATTGTTTTGCTGTTTTTGCATATGTGAATTACATACTTGAACATCAAACTTGCTCTAGTGATAAAGGCAGCCTAAGTTCCTTCCTTGCATAAGATAAGAGGAATTGCACTGAAGAGTAAAAACAGTCATCCAAAAGTAACAGGCAATTACAGCAAACATGGTTGTTTTTTCCACATAGGTTCAAGATGAAATAAATCTAGTACTAAACACTAACTGTTCAGGCTTGTGTCCGATAATACATGCTGCAGGGTTAAGTCTTTAAAGTCTCAGGCTGCTATCACTGCTGTTACTAATGCCTAATCAACTTCACTGAAACCCCATTTTACAGTAGGAAAAAATAGTCTAATTTTATAATTAAAACAACTTAATTTAGAAAAGATTCCTCTCTCTCAAATCCCAGCAAGTGTTCCATATAAGATATCACTCCCTATCACTTAGCTTAAGGGCTGGAAAGCCAAACCCTAAGAGCTCGCTACCTAGTAAGTACAAGTTAGAGGCATCATCCTTGAGCAGCTGTCTCATTCTGATTGGAGATTTTGCCCACAGGCAATACAAATAATATCTCTGGATGAAGTTCCTCTTTATACTTCATAGATTTCTTGAAGTAGGTGGCCTCCTACTCTAAAGGAGAAGAAAAAAAAAATCCAGAACAACTTAAGCAAAGCAACAGAAAACCCAGCTTACCCATCCTATTAAAAAACCAACAGTCTAAACAAAGATCTTAATGCTTCTTCCTTACTTGTTATGCACAGAAGTGGTAGTTAAGCCTGAGATGGGAATTTGCAAAGAAATCTGTCATCAGTAATGCAGGAGCCGGTAACTCACATTAAAGCAACAATTGGTTCAATGTAGTTTACACAGTGTCAGTAGGCATTGAAGAAGGGTGAGAAGCATGCTCTAGCTGTTCTCCCAGCATGTCCATCTCCATATTGAACCCAAATATACTCTGTGCTCCAGACAGAGCACTAGTACACCTCTATAGAGGTTACATTAGCTTTGCTTCCAGTTTGCTTGATTTTCACTTCTCTTGTGTCCCTTTCTTTGTCATTCTGTCTGCAGCAGATCCACCTACTCCCCTGTCATTCCACAGTTAAGATTTAGAAGGAAGAGTTGCTGTTCTGATCCTTCGGTCTCTTGCAGACTCAGCATCTTACAACATTTTAAACTCACCAAACTCACATAGCCCATGGCTAGATAAGGGAATAGACTTTCTTATTAGTTGCTTGGTATGTTAATAGTCACTCATAAGCACAAGCTGGAAAACAGGGGAAGTCGAGACAAGATGTAAAAATCACATTTTACAAAAGTTGCAGCAAGCAACTCCTTCAGGGATAAACCCTAGAGTATTAAAAAGATCCAAAAAGGTTTTCCATTGGAAACCATAACCACTAGTTTAACATTTTTAAATTGAACAAGCTACCAAGACTTCCACTGAAAAAGGTGTATTGAGGTGGGAATTCTTAATAAGCACATAGATCTGGCATGAGCACAGAAAAGATACACTGAAATGAATATAGCAAATGCCTTTTTCAGGAAAGAGTTAAGTTAGTTAAAGCTGACTTTGAACACATAATGCAAAAAGCCTGAAACCACCAGGCATTATAGTTTAGTTGGAAATTGATTATGTTTCACTTTTCTACATCAGCTATGCTCAACTAA